AATTCTGGGATTACAAAAATTCAAGTTCTTATTTGCAACCTTCTTTCTGACAAGTGCTAGCTTTTGTGCATTTGTGTAAAAAGTCAGAATAGCTCAGTAGTATCTAGATTAGGCATTAAGATTCTGACGGTATAATAACCTTGGATAAAAATATCACAAGTTCACTCTATTGGGATAACTGCTCTAAAATATATTCTTTTTGAATATCTGGGTATGAAACAAAACTTTTTTCCTCTTTGAACACAATATGTTTTACTTTGAAAAATTTATTTTGGTAAAGTAAACATTTCAGGCTAAATAATTTTAATGAATCATTGACTTCTGCTGTCTTCATTACGCCTGATTCACACAGGGCTTCAGCATTAATGCTTGACTGAGGGCGTGTTTGAAGTTGGGGCTGACGTGATCGTCATAGCAGCATCAGCCAATGAAATTAGTCAGCAATCGGCTACTGTCTGAGCTGGTGTATTTGCATACAGCAACCTGATTGGGTGATGCTTCCATTGGTGCTCGAAAAGATGAGAAAGTCCCAACATCTGCAGCCAGCACCGCCGCTGAAGCAGTGTCGACGGACCCAAAATACTGTATAATTCAGCAACGCTTGAAGTCACCCATTCAAAGTGAATGGGAAGCGTTGAGGCTGACGCCCTGTGTGAAAGGGTCGTTAATTTCAAAAACATTTCATTACAGATTTCATAACTATTTGAAATGGCATCTTTGGATATATTTTCTGCTGGAGATACTGTTCTCTTAAAAAACTTAAAACAAAATGTAAAAAAAAACCTTACATATACCTTATGGAATGGTATAGCAGAAACTTTTGGCAGTTTTAAAATCCAAACCGCAGTATACCTTGAAAACAGCCTAATCTGGACGAGACTTGAATTTGCAAGCTGAGACTTCTCATCTCAGACTTGCAATGTCAGACACAATCACTCAATGGTGCTAGTTACCTCAAAATGAAGGGTAGGGTTAGGGGCGGGGTTAGGTGTAGGCATTGAAAGCATTGCATGCAGCTCACCTTGCAACTGCAACAAAGTCTGCACCCAGACCCCTCTCGAATTGTGAGATGTTGTTGATATCTCATAGTTGGTGAAACATACACTTGCAGATTTGAAGAGAAATTTTTAATTGAATTGTTAACTTTAATTGGCCAGATTAAGAACACACTGGGCCCTGGGGCTATAGCAAACACCTGGGTCCCTTTATTCTACCACAAAAACGTTTTTCAAACATAAAGCCAGAAATATGAAGTTAGAATATTTCTATACTAAAATGAATGATCACCTTATAGCAACATAACATTATTAATTAATACTAAAAAAATATATTATTTCTATTAAACAAGTTCGCAAAGTGAAAGTGATATCAAAAGACTACAGGATTACAAGGCCTGGTACAACATGAATGTGGCACCAGTTTCAATTACAGTGGAGACTTATTGCCTAGACAAAAATTTGAAAATAGGAATAGAAAATACCTACGTCCTGATAACATTAATGCGCTTTAATACGCTAGAGTTCCTCAAGGCACCAGCAGTTTTTTTTTCTCTCGGTGGCCTGCTGTGCATCAGATCATCGACGCCCCCCCCCCCTCTGATGATTTTTGTCATGAGAGAGATCTTCTCAATTTTTAAGCCATAAATTTAATAGCATTCTTCCTCTTTCTTATTCTCTGCCATTATTCAATCTTACTGATCTCTTGAGTTGAGAAAAATACACTCTTTCTTTCGTCCTAAAATGAGTTCAGCGGGGACTTGCGCTTTGTAAGGGATGTTCTCAGAGCACTTTAATCAGCGGCCTGTATTTGCCTTTCTTCTGTCTCTAATCTCTGAACTTTGAGAGGCAATTACCAGACAAAACAAAGAGTCCTTTTTAATAAAAGAGAAGCATAGCACTCCTGCAAGTACTGTCATAAGCCCAGAAGGACACATTGGTGATGTTGATACAGGCAGGTGGATCAAAATATACAGCGCTGAGGTGAGAGAAGCCTGCAGGACTAGAAAATAACCCAACATTCATTTGTTTTCAGATGTTGTCTCCCGGGACCACTTTACAAATGTCAGCCCCGAGGCTTAGAGCGGACTCTGTCTCTGTAGCAATGAATGGAAAGGTCTGTCGGATGGATTTTTCGTTAAATGCGAAATGGTAGGACCACGACCCCACAAAACAAAAGCTGTCTGTAGATCCCCTAAACGCGTCGTTTAACACTACGAATGGCATTGTGAGAGAAGTCTTACCTGCAGTGTTTATGTTTGCTGCAATCCAAATTAAGCTAAAGCACTGCACTCTTGTGGTCAAACAACTCATAGCAAAAAAGTAGCCTATTTGGAAACTTGGGAAGTTGAAATAAACTATACACTATTATTTACTCCTAACTTTAAAATAGGCTATTTTTTAGCCTTCTTTTTTATAACTATGCTGGGTTTGTATTAATAAATAGGGGTGAGCGGGGACGAATTTAACGCGGGACGAAAGCAACAAAGCGATTTTCTCGAAGCCCTTACAACATTTTCTTTCCAGCGCATTCAGAATGCAACCCTTGTTGCAACTGCCAAAAATAAGTTTATTTCGGGACCTTATTTTTCCCTTCCACATTAGAGTTTGCAGTAATTCAGATGTTTAAAAAAATCATGCATATTGCCAAATAATAAAACAAATATTTAAAAATTATATACAATTGTAACTATTTGCATTGTTGGAACTGTAATTTAAAATGAAAACGCAGTTTAATATTTTTGCAAAAATAAAGGACTTGTTTGCAGTTGATATTAACAAGGTCACGGTCAGATATATTTAAAATAAACAAGATTAAGCCAGTAAATCTACTGTATTACCGTTGTGTTACTTTTGACCCACCCGTGTGTTACTTTTGACCCTGCGTATGGAGTCAAAAGTCAAAACTTTTGGTTAAAGTTATATGGAGTTGTTCTACAAAATAACACCTGATTTTGATAGACCACTCTTGTGAGTCAGTAACCACAGCAAAAATATATTTCTGCTAAAACATTATCTTTTAAAATCAGGTTTTAATGAATAATGTTACTTTTATCCCCACTCTCCCCTACGTAGCCCATAGACGGTGTTATGAATTTGTGACTATCAATTTATTTACGTTTTGACAGATTTTGCCTTAATTTTTCGAAACCAAAAATTATTGTGAATATCAAATTCTCAACAATGGTACCTGAAAAGTCTGTTTATTTAAAAAAAAAAATGAAAAAAAAAGAGTACCCATCGAGTTCACTTACAGTGTCAAGTGTCGTGCAGTAGTTACAGAGCATGAACTACAGAGGGAGACAAAGACCACTTGCTGATAAAACAGCTTTGCTTATTTGGAGTATTAAATATTTATTATCTAATTGTATGCAAACTATTTAGTGACTGCATGTATAAGGCAACACTTTATTATACAGTGTTATCCTAAAAAGTAGGCTACTTAACCCTACTTATATAAGTACATGTTGGTAGTTATTACATGTTTGTGAAGTCTAACCAATTTCAAGTGTATAGCCAAGATTAACACGAAGTCAATCTTTTGTATTTTGAATGCATTGTCTGGTTTATTATACAAGACAAGCTTTGACAAGTGATGATCAGCTCCATCATAACAGGGTAGAGCAAGCTGGCAATGACCTATATAAAACAGTGCAAAAGGCTAAGTTAACAGTGAGACAAGCCTGCACCACTGGAGAAAAAGATTATAAAATCCCACTCTAGAAATTCATAAAAGCAACAGTAGAATAAAGTAAACACGAACATGTAGTCAGTTGTTATTCTAACAAATAATTAGATTTTGTTGGTACTGTCAACATATCAGTCTATCTGAAATGAAAAAAAATATTTTAAAAATGTATATATAGATCTGAATATCGCTGAACAAAAACAAAAGGCTGCAATGTGGATAAAACTGCTGTCGAATCCAGTCAAAGAATGTCATAATTATATCATTGCTGCAAGATCGTTCAAAATGCAACCTTTCTGCAAATGCAATGACACCATGGGCCACATTTACTAAACAGAGAAGCTTTCTGCAGATGCTTCCACTAATGATAGGAAAATTATAGAACTTAGACCAAAAGCAGCTCACATGAAATATTATGTGGTTTGGTAATCAATATGTTAGAATTATGTATTTTCCCATAATCCAAGTAATAGATTGTACTGTAAGTCTCTCTACAACACATGCTTTCTGTTCTAAGTATTCTTCCAGCAGCTACAGCAATGAATCCAACATGTTAGGCATAAAATGTGTACCCACCCCACCCTTGCATTTTTTGGGGCGGTTAAATGATGGTATAATTAGCAGTCAGGCTGGTCACAAAGATTTTAAGCTTGATTTTTATTGTCAATTGTATTGTCAATTTTTTTTTTTTTGTTCATTTATTCACAATCAATCAATCTTATCTTGTCACTATTTTTATTTACATTAAATAATTGCAGTTTGTAAATTAGTTGGGAATTCCCAATTCATTGGGAATTGTTATTTTATTTGAACAGACCCTCTCTTAACATGCTCACAGCACTCATATTCTGACAGGCGTTTCGGCTAGAAAGCAGGATCGCGGAGGAAACTGAGTTGCATTGCTTGTCTTATTTCTACTTCTTTTAATAGTAATTTGATCAGCTGTAGTTTGAAATTACAATGTTTTCTCTTAGGGCTTATTATGCGGTCTCTGTCACCATCTTGTGCATAAACATCGTCAACTGTCTTTGCTCAATGACAGGCTAATGGCCGCTAATGCACTATATCTTAGAAATTATAAATAATTAGAAATAGGCACTAAAAAGTACATTATGTTGTCTAACAGCAGAAATGTTTGTAAAACTGTAGAGTGTCCTCTTTTTGTTGCTGTATGTCGGCGGAGTAATCGGCTATCAGCCAATCAGAGTCAAGAACCAGACAAAACTGTTGTGTGTGTGTGTGTGTGTGTGTAATATATATATATATATATATATATATATATATATATATATATATATATATATATATATATATCATTTTGAGTGAAAATATCCCTTTAATGTCAACAAAATCATTGCGCTGTTAGTAAATCTGGCCCATGCATTCAATCGCACAAAAACCATTCGCAACTGTACACAATATTTCCTCATTTACATACCACAGTTTCACTTATTATTAATCGCAAAGTTGCAAATAGCTGATTGACTTTAAGCATCTTTTCAAATAAATAACACAAAATACTATATTGAGAATCCTTGTATAGAAAACACGACAATAAAAACCAAGTTTCGTCTAATTCTATCAAAAGAGTAAGAACAGCGTATAACAAAGAGGGAAAGGCTCAGGTGGGAATCGTGATGACAGTGATTTAGAAAAGTGCGTGTGTAGGCAGTATGATAGCTCTTCAGCTCTTGTGTCTCTGCTAAGGCGAGAGTTGAGGACAGACACATAAAAATCCTAGTCAGTCTGAGATTAACCTCCGCTGAGACAGCGCAAGATAATGAACCAGTCCAGAGTTTCTTCCACACGTCACATTATCAAGACAACAGGGATTTGATTTGGCAGGTTTCCTGGTTTCTCAGAGCAGCTCTTGGAGAGATTTTGGAGGGCAGGATAAGAGCCTGCTCTTTATAAACCGGTTAATAAAAGTTGTCAGTACCTGGAAAAGAGAGGTTTTTAGGTTTGATTAGCTGGCAGATTTGTACCAAAAATAAAATAAAATAAAATAAATCATTGCAACTGAACTTTTATTTCAGATTTGTGTGTATACCAAAAAGCCAGGTGTATGTAGAAAAATCATTTGCATTTGATGACATACTTTAAAATTATTTAAGGAACAGTGCAGTAATCAAATTACTTAATAAATGTAATGTAATGATAACACAATATATATATATATGTGTGTGTGTGTGTGTGCGTGCGTGCGTGCGTGCGTGCGTGTGTGTGTGTGTACTCACTGGCCGCTTTATTAGAAACACCTGTCCAACTGCTCATTAACGCAAATTTCTAATCAGCCGATCACATGGCAGCCATTCAATGCATTTAGACATGTAGACATAGTCAAGTCGATCAGCTTCAGTTAAAAATGAGAGTCAGAATAGAGAAGAGAGGTGATTTAAGTGACTTTGGACATGGCATGGTTGTTGGTGCCAGACGGACTGGTCTGAGTATTTCATAAACTGCTGATGGTCCAAAAAAGAGAAAATATCCATGGGGGCAAATGTCTCGTTGATGCCAGAGGTCAGAGGAGAATGGCCAGACTGGTTCGAGCTGATAGAAAGGCAACAGTAACTCAAATAATCACCCATTACAACCGTTGTATGCAGAAGAGCATTTCTGAATGCGTAACACGTTGAACCTTGAGTCAGATGGGCTACAGCAGCAAAAGACCACACCGGGTGCCACTCCTGTCAGCTAAGAACAGGAAACTGAGGCTACAATTCGCACAGACTCACCAAAATTGGATAATAGAAGATTGGAAAAACGTTGCCTGGTCTGATGAGTCTCGATTTCTGCTGCAACATTCGGATGGTAGGGTCAGAATTTGCATCACGGATGTGCAGCCGACAAACCTGCAGCAACTCTACGATACTATCATGTGAATATGGACCAAAAATTTTTAGGAATATTTCCAGTACCTTGTTGAATCTATGCCACGAAGGATTAAGGCAGTTCTGAAGGCAAAAGTTTGCTCAACACAGTGCTGGTAAGGTGTACCTAATAAAGTGGCCAGTGAGTGGAATGTATATACTACCTAGTCAGTATGGTTTTCAAATTCTAACCATCAGAAGAGTTAAGCAAATAATACTTGGTGTATTTGTAGCATAGGAACAAGTGAGAACCTTTGTTATCCTGACCAGCTGTTATTTATATTTAAAAAAGCTAGCTTTAAAAAAAGTGTTTTCAGACCTTTGTATAATAAGACAAATGTAAACAAATTACTCAAACACATACCAAACAAATCCAGTAAACCAGAAAAACAGAGAATCTCTAAAGGGGTCTCTAATTTTTGCATCATATCCGTTGCATTATGTTATGCACACACATTATTTCAGTTAAGAATTAGTGCAGCTTTTATAATTGCAGTAATAAATGCACTTCCACGCCATTTAAACCATATTTCTTGGACAATCTACTCTGTGCTCCATCGTAGGAGGATGTTAAGCAATCTCTCCTAACAAAAAAAGTCCACCTCAAATTACAAATCACTCCAGTTCTGGTTAAGCATATCAGATAACATTGCAGGAAACTGCACAGAATTCAAAAAAGAAAGAAGAAGGAAATGATGAATGGATCCACATCATATCACAGCTATCTGTGCATTCTCATATTCCAAATCACTTTAAACAATGTAAAAATCATTGATCGAGGGGATTTACAAAGAGAACAAACCCTGACCCCAGCATTAGCGCTGCTGTACTTCAGCTCTCATTGAATTATCTGGAGAGGTCAGCAGAGGTTAGTACAGTAATTGCTGGACAGATATGAACAGAGGAGAGGATGAGCTCCAGTGGATGAGCATGTTAAGAGAGGATGAGGAAAGGCAGAAACAGACAGCGATGGTGGAGGGTTCTAGTCAGCTACTCGGGATGAGTGGGAAACTGTTGATGATGGTTCTAATGTGGTAAATTCAAAAATACCGTATGGTGAGTGACTTTTATTCCGTTACAGCAGGGCCCGGGTTTTCTTTATTTTCAGAGGGAATGGCTAAGTAGTCTGTCCTGTAGACACATAGGTACAAAAGAAAAATGCAAAAGAGTCGAGGCCTCTTCAGCAAAGCAGCAGTTGGGACAGCAACTACCATCAACACTTTAGAGGAATAGTTCAGCCAAAAAGATTACCGTGATCTACCAAACCTGACTGGTATTATTAGAAACACAAAAGTAAACCTATCTCTTGATTCATTATGCTTTTTTGAGTATTGTAATTGTTGGGAGACTCATCTAGCTCTTAGATTTATCAGGGAAACTAACTTATTTTAAATTATTTATTGATGTTACATGATACAAAACGTAAACTTTTGGAATCTCTCAAAAGTATTTCGCCATGAAAAAACTTTGCGTTCTCTCTTAAAATATTTGTAATTTCTCACAAAAGTATGTTGTTATTGCAAATGTACAGCATTCTTTTAGAAAAAAAATTAACTCTTGTAAAAGTATTAAATTCAATTGCATTTCCTTGTGAAACTTTTCTCTTCTGATATAAATTTTGATTGTCCATCAAATATATAAAATATTTCCATTCTCCTGAAAAGTATTGTGCTCTCCCAAGAAACATTGCAATCAATCACAAAATCATGGAAATAGCTCTGCGCAAAGATTCTTCACGTCATTTTTTTCATCTGCGAAACATTGCCAAACTTCGTCCCATGCTTCCCTTTTCTGTTGCTGAAAAATTCATAAACAGCTTAAATTTTCCCATATTGACTATTGTAACCCTTTACTGGCTGGACTTCCAAACGCTACCCTAAACAAGTTACAATTTGTACAAAATTCACTGGCTTCCTGTCAGTTTCGAACTGATTTTAAAATCTTCATGCTTGCGTACAATTTTTATTTGAGCTTTTAATGCTATACACTCCTAGACGTGCTTTACGCTCGTCTGATGCTGGTCTTTTAACTGCTCGGTCAATGCGGCTAAAATCTATGGGAGGCCAGGCATTGTGAAATTGTGAAACTCTTTACCCTCTGATATTCTCAACGCAGAAGTCTAGAGTTTAAATAATCTCTTAAAACTGACTTTTTTAGGGTAGCTTTAATTTGACTTTTATATTATTTTAGATCTTTTACTATTATTGTTTTTCATCTTTTTTTATTACTATTTTATTACTTTTTTTGCATTCATCCTTGTGTCTTTTACTGCTGTACATTTTATGTCTGTAAAGTGCCTTGAGATGCTACTTTTAAAGGCGCAATACAAAAATAAAGCAATATAATTATATATATAAAAAAAAAATGAAAAAAAAAACAGATCAGGATGACAATTTCCATCTTTTTGGCTGAGCTATCTCTATATTACTTAATGACTGAATATTGAGTGATTTAGAAGTTTAGAGATCTTCATGTTTACATCTGCTGGCAGAGTGAGGACATCAATATAATCACAAATTTAAATAAATAACTGACAAACAAATCAACAAGAAATGACTGACAACAAATTAAACCATGGTAAAGAAGGAGCCAGAAGAGAAGAGAGGTTTAAAAAATTACCCACTGTTGTGTCATATGACAGTAAGAGATCAATGAGTATTGATTTAGATGTAGGTAAGCCTGACGGGCCACTGCTTTATTTACCATCTGCACTACATGACTGATGGGCTCACAGTAATGCACGCTTTTAAAGCACTCATTATCCATGTGTGTGTGTATGTGTGTGGGCATGGATGGATGGCTATATTTGCGTGTCATGATAGTCTATCTTCCAGGAAAACAAACCAATCTCTAGAATAAAGTAGAAAATTCATCACTAATGATTGAACGTTATAGTTGTGCAAGAACATGTTTTGTCCACCTGTCAAAAAGATCCTCGATATGCCTACAATAACATTATCATATAATTTAGAGGTTGATTAGTTGATCTTTTTTGGCGGATTAATCGGGCCTGATAGTCAGAACAAACGTTATCTACATGTTTTCATATCTATATAAAGTAAGCAATTTGTTGATTACATGCTGCAGTAGCAGAGAAAAATACAGTGCTTGTAAGGCTAAGACACCACTAATATTATAATATCTCAAACAGTTAAAATTGTGGAAAAATACAAAGTCAAATCATTTAGTGATAATTATTATTTTTATTATTGCCTGTTTGTGTTATTTCACTTCTACCCCTTTCACTTATTGACATTTATGCATTTGTTAGTCGGCTTAGTTAACATGACATTGATCATTTTTGCTAATGTGATATACTGTATTGTGCATGGTGTGGACATAAAAAGGCATTTCAATCAAAGATCATGCAGTTGTCTTTTTTTTTTTTGTCTTCGCCAATCCCATTTCAAAATATTGTATGCTTTAATATGCAATCTTATTAACTAAAGTGAAGGCCATTTAAAAGGCCATTATTACAATTCGAAGCTTCTGATCTTTAAACATTAAAAGAGAACTAGAAATGGATTAAATAGTACTTGAATCTGTTGCATTTCTTTAACAGAACTGGATCAAAGTTTAAACTGGTTTGATATTTTAAATGTTGTTTTATTTGTTACTGACAAGCTGTTTCACATATCTAAAATGTGTTTGAAGTGTTTTTACCATTATTTTGTATGTTAAAACGATTTGTATTTATTTAGCATGCTACTATTGTTTTCTCCTCAATTTGATTAATTGAGTATGTTTTACAATGTTAAAATGTTAGTTCACCCAAAAATTTCAATTCTACTGTTAATTACTCCCGAGTACTTCTGAGACCTTTGTTCATCTTCAGAACACAAGTTAAGATGTTTTAGGTGAAATCTGAGAGCTTCCTCATCCTCCACAAACAGCAAAGTTCCAGACTCGTTCAAAAGCCCCCCAAAACAGACCATGCATATGCCTTCAGTTATTTGTTTGGAATATTATAATAATAGCCGGCAGCTAGCTCTCTGCAACTCTCACATGGTCGCCCACTGAAGCTAAGCAGGGCTGCGCCCGGTCAGTACCTGGATGGGAGACCACATGGGAAAGCTAGGTTGCTCCCGGAAGTGGTGTTAGTGAGGCCAGCAGGGGGCGCCCAACCTGCGGTCTGTGTGGGTCCTAATGCCCCAGTATAGTGACGGGGACGCTATACTGCTCAGTGAGCGCTGTCTTTCGGATGAGACGTTAAACCGAGGTCCCGACTCTCTGTGGTCGTTAAAAATCCCAGGATGTTCCCATTGAACCCCTTAGGCATATGTGTGTTGTAAGGATGTTTTTGGTATTTTTCTGGACTTTGAACGAGACGGGAATTGCTTTCTATGGTGAATGAGAGAGCTCTCAGATTGCATCTGTGGGTGAACTAGCACTTTTTTTTACCATTGATAACTATCATTATTGTTATTAGCATAAATATTGCAAAAATGCTATACTCACGCAGTGTCCTGTGCTTGCTCGTCAGATTTGGAGATCTTCCTGTAGCAGTAGACCATCTCCACCAGCAGCCAGAAGGTGAGGAACACCAGCAGCACATACATCATGATCTCAGAGTACAGCGCCGTGATGTCTGCACTCGCTGGGAAAATGAGAGGGAATTTGAGCAATCAGTTGAGCAATCAGAGGACGTCTGTCAGACTGATGCCGTGTAATGACTTCATCCAGAAAGTGACGAAAATCTCAAGTGTACTAGAAATGAGGACAAGAGTGCACAATGCATGAGTGGGCAAGTGAAATTATAGCCGCACCGCTTTGATTCACTAGGAGAGATACTGAAGCCATTTCAGGTTAACAGGATCTAAATGCGCTAGTAAAACGTGTGCAGCTATAAGTCGCTTAAGAAATGCAGATCATGCTTTGCATCCTTGTGAAACATTTGCAATGCAACTAGTGTCATATAACAGTTTCAGCTTTCTTTATGTCTTTTTTAAAAACATTTTTTGTTATATGAACAAATGCACAAAACTGCACTAGCATTTATAGATAATATGTAAAGAATCAAAATGAACTGTGTTTATTATTAGGTAGAGTTTACTTTATTTGAAAGTGGCCATATGATGCTATTTTTTGTTTCTAGGATAAACCTAAAAACACATTTTTAATAATATGCAGTACATAGTGCATATTATTGCAGAACCTCTTTTGCCAGTCTGTCTGAAAACACTCGTTCAAGTGCAAGATGGAAATGTAACAGCCCTTACCAAATTTGCTAGTTTCAGCTTTCGAGACTTCTGTAAGCAAAAACAGTTAACAATGACATTGCTTTTACTTAATCAGTTTGAGCTGTAACTGACTAAAGCCTTAATTCTTCCTTTTTATTTTATTGCATGCTTTGGGCAGCACTATGCTAAAATCTAAAATGATTATATTAAGCAAAATTTCTTGTCGTTGATCAATGCATTGTTTTCATAGGACCAAATTCAACTCAAAACTGAAAACGCTATCCAGTTAAGTTATAGAGACCAGAAAACAGCTTAAAAATCTATAGGAAAACTGTGTAAACTAAACATTCGTGAAAATGGGGTATGAGTATGCAGCTCTGTAGAATTTGTACATGCATAAATAGATTAACTAATGAAAAACATTACACAGCATTATATGGCCTCTTTAGATGTAAGTCATTCAACCCAGGCTCATTCTGAAAATGTACCGCTATATACATTTCGGGAGAGCACCAAATGCTTCCAAGGAGGAATGCTTTTTTGCAGTTTTGCAATCCACCAGAGGCCGCTGTGTACACTTTTTGAGATCTCATATTTTTCTCGCAAGTGCCATTTACGCATGCATTTTCCACGTAAATCCACCAGAGGCCGCTGTCGCCTGACTGACTGACTAAATAAATGAATGACTGACTGATCGTCTGATCTACCCTCCTCCTTCCCTAAACCCAACCAATAGTGTTTTAAAAAGCAATGATTGACCAGCGCCCGCCCACTTCTCTAAACCCAATCGGCAATTTTCAAAAGCAGTCCAAAAAAAGAAAATCCCTTGCCTGATTTTTACCATGTTTTCAGATTTTACCACATTATCACCCTGTTATTAACTTTTTTTTTTTGGCTTCTGTTATTGTCTTACCCGCTTTCTGACACCGTTCTTCGCAGACTCAAACCCCGTCATTGTGGTGAACTCCTCTCTATGTCTCAAATCCGCCGTCGTACATCGCAAGCCACTGGACAAAATGGTAACTGCAGGAAAGCGGTCCTTATGGAGGTAAGCGGCCAGCTGGTAAGCATGAAAAGGAACGGCATCATACCGCCCAGAGCGCTCGTTCTAAAGACGAAATGCAGCCATACGTACTTCTCCAGAAATGTATATAGGTCTATGTTTTCAGAATGAGCCTATGTTAAAGTCATTTGTTTAGTCAGTAGTTTATTAGGTATAAATGGATGGAAAAATAAACCTTAAAGGGCTATTTCACCCCAAAATGATAATTTTGAGGTGAAAGACCTTTGTTTGTCTTCAGAACACAAATTAAGATATTTTAAATGAAATCAGAGAGTTCCCCCATTCTCCATAAACCCTAACAGTCATCAAAAGTCCAGAAAAGGAACACAATTTATTGTCAAAACATTCCATGGGACTTCAGTGGTTAAACTGTAATCATACGAAACTCCAAAAACAACATTTATGGTTCTTTTTCTAGACTTTAAGTGTCTTAGGACCATTGCTGACTATGGAGGAGGGGGAAGCTCTCTGATTTCATCTAAAATAATCTTAATTTGTGTTCCAATATCTCAGAGGTCTCATGGGGTTGTAATGACATGGGTTTGAGTAACTAATTCATAACAGAATGTTCAATTTCTTTTTCTTCATGAACCAACCCCTTAATGCCTGTCCAAGAAGACGCATTACAGTAAATAATCAGTCCATAATACAATCATTCCCAGACATTTTATATCAACTTTCCTCTGAAAGACAACAAGGCTCAAAGGTTATATGAAATATAAGAGATTGTGTTCAAAAAAGCAGAGTGGTTGTGCGATCCTCAGCTTCACTCTTTAGATCAGAAGCCCACTCACATTGATATGAGTGTATTCAAAATGCATCCACTGGCTGTATTAAACTGGAACAATATGTTTTAAAAGATGAGAACCACTGTAATAATGTTAGTGCAGCACATGTGACATATTAAATTAGCAATATGTTAATAACTAATAATGAAACCTTATTTTTACAGTGTATGTCTCATGCACTGCAGTCAACATCTAAATATGGCATGGAATGTAAAAGTAGTTGTACTTTAAGTTTGTGGGTCTGGAAGGCTATTTGTGATTGAAAATATTATCTAAAGCCACCACTTAAATACAACGTTGAATATTTCTATCTGCAAACTGAGAGCACTCACAGATAGAGATAATGCATGCGCTTGCATGGTTAAGTATAGACAAATATACATTAGACAAAGTATATTTGATTAAAGCGAGAGCAAGTTCTCTGCATTCTCAGCAATCTCAGGCATTCAGAGACTAGAATACAAACCAGAATCTTTACATTACCCCCCACAACAGATTGACAGGTAAGTGGTTGTTTAGATATAGCCCTGAAAACAACTCCCTGCCTTCCAATAAGAAAGCTTAAATAACAATAAAACAGAACAAAGCACACCATTACTAGAACGACACAATGAGCATGTCAAGGCACATAATGAACCATAATGAAGGGCTGATTTTAGGGTTACAGCATGTTTGAAAATGGCCTGCAGTGCAACCATCCAAAGCACACTGCAGAGATGGGGTAATCCAATACATCCTGACAAACTGAGAAGTGTGTAGCGGTGTGTGTTGTGTTGACTTACCTCGCATGTTTACCTTCAGATTGATTCTGATGTTCTTGTTGGCGGAAAGCTTGAATGAATCAAACTCAAAGAAGCGAGTTACTTCACATTCGTATGTGCCAGTGTCGTTTAAAGTGACATTTAGGATGCTAATGGAGACGTCCTGCATGTCCTTACTGCCCGTCCATGTTACCCGACCTTTCCATTGCTCATCTACATCCTTCGGCTCCTGCGGCTCGCCGTCATACAGATAGATCTGTGTAGTGGATATGATTATGTGTCAGAAATATTTATGTATTAAACACACACACACACACACACACACACACACACACGCACACACACACACACACACACACACACTTAAAATCTAAGAGATGATCACTCACAAGTGTTCTAGTTTTGTTTTTATCTTGGCCCTTGTAAAACCACTCCACTTTGGTGGTAGCCAGGATTTCCTCTCGTTTCATGCAGTAGATGCAGGTTAACTTCTTAACTTTGCCTACAATGGCCTCGCCGTCTGATGGCACATCCACACACACCAGCCTGACCTCCACCACTGAGAAAACACAGAGAGGATTATCACATATTGCCACATTCATAACCCATCACAAAGATGCCATTTAAATTTATCTCAGTTAGAAATCTGTCTATCTATCTATCTGTCTATCTATCTGTCTATCTATCTGTCTATCTATCTATCTATCTATCTATCTATCTATCTATCTATCTATCTATCTATCTATCTATCTATCTATCTATCTATCTATCTATCTATCTATCTATCTTTCTATCTGTCTGTCTGTCTGTCTGTCTGTCTGTCTGTCTGTCTGTCTGTCTGTCTGTCTGTCTGTCTTTTTTACCTTCAACCCCTAGTGTTGAAAGCCTTGACTTATTTACAGTTTTTCTCAATTGCTTTGCCACATTCTTCAAAACAGTCTTAACATTCTCAAAACTGAGTACAAATCTCAAAACTGTTTAATGGAATTTCAGAACTTTATTCCATGTCTGCAAAATGTAGTTACCCATCCAAAACGTTTAATTCATGCTTCAAAACCTAGTTATCATGTCAGTAATTTGGCCAAGGCCACCAAAACATAAAGTGTATTTGTCATTATGTGAGCCACACTGCTCAAAATGATTAGCTGTTTTTTCACCATGACGGTCAACCATGGAAGTTAAGGTTTAAAAAAGTCTGATATTTGTTGAAAAGAGTGAACAGTACATAACACAATTGTATCCATACAGTACATTTATTTGTGTACAAATGTATTACACGCAAAGTGCAATACTGCTTGTCCAATTACTGTATTGTATATTTCATATTTCCTATGTTACCACGAATACACAAAAAAACTACAAAATATCATCCATGATAAAATATTCTTGGTCTACATTCTGTCGCTCTTGTTTGCCTTGTCAGAGATTCCACTTCTTCCAATTGCGTTTCCATAAGCATTTTGCTACAGTTCAGGACTTTGAATGTAGTGATTGTGCTGTGGGTAATCGATATATTTGGTACTAGATATGATGAATAGATACACAAATTGTATTGCAACTAAGGTCATTTACCAATTTAGCAGACAAACAATGTCAACATTTGATACTTTGATGTTAACGTGCATATACAAATGTTTGATAATTGAATTAACAGTTTTGAATGTGATGGCTTACACAATGAAAAATGACTGAGAAGCTGTGAAGAGTTTGACAGTTTAAATGGGAATTGACTTACTAGTTTTGATCAACAGGCCACATGCAATCCGTTTTTTTGTCCAAACTACAGAAAATTGTACTTGCTGTTTGCAGACATGTGCCAAAGCATTTGCGATTTTCTTAAATCAATAAGACATGACACTGACGTGAACAATAAGCTAATTGTTCAGGGGTCTACACTTATTGTTTTGAAAACTAAAAATTTCAATCAAGAATTGTGCCAAAGCAGGTGAGAAAAACTTTAATGTCTTCATTTGAAAAGTAATTGGTATTTACTATGATATTTTTATTATTTATTTTAATGTAGATATATGGCATTGGAATAGAGTAATAATTTAAATAAGGTTTATGTTTCTTTAAGTTTGTTGTGTTTCTTATGCTTTAGATGTCTGAATTTCCTTAACAATTAAACTATCCATCCATCCATCCACCCATCCATCCGTCCATCTACAGTTGAAGTAAGAGTTATTAGCCCAACTACCCCCCCCTTTTTTTTTTATATTTTCCAAATTATGTTTAACAGAGCAAGGAAATTTTCACAATATGTCTGATAATATTTTTTCTTCTGGAGAAAGTCTTATTTGTTTTATTTTGGCTAGAGTAAAAGCAGTTTTTAATTAAAAAAAATGTTTTAAGGTCAAGATTATTAGCTCCTTTAAGCTATATATTTTATCAATAGTCTACAGAACACAAACCATCATTATACAATAACTTGCCTAATTACCCTTACCAGCCTAGTTAACCTAATTAACCTAGTTAAGCCTTCAAATGTCACTTTAAGCTGTATAGAAGTGTCTTGAAAAATATCTAGTCAAATATTATTTACTGTCATGATGGCAAAAAAAAAAAAAAAAAAATCAGTTATTAGAAATGATTTATTAAACTATTATGTTTAGAAATGTGTTTTAAAAAACTCTCTCCGTTAAACAGAAATTGGGGAATAAAATAAACAGGGGGGCTAATAATTCAGACTTTAACTGTATGTCTTACATAACAATTGAATCTTACTTGGCCTTTAAAATGTAAGCCTAACACCTTTTCCAAAAACTGCACATACTTAATGGAGGTCAATTAAATCTGAGGCAGAGATTTCCCATAGGAGCACCAAAGCATAAGAAACAGAGACAGAAAGGGAGAGAGAGAAAGATCATTATACATTACGAGCTCCAAATTCCAGAAAGAGCTCAGAGCACACTGTCTCCTGGTCAGGCAAAAACATATCTCATAGGCACATGCTTAATACTGAAAGCGGGAACATGCCGGAACATGAACAGAGCAGAGGCCAGGGTGATGCCTCGGCGATGTGAAGATTGTTCTGGAGTGTTTGCTCGATGGTGAACATAACCTCCCTGCCATTGTTGAAATAGAGGCCATCTTACATAACTCGCAGCCTCAAGCACAAGCTGTCAACACTGATCGCGCCTTTTCTGTTTGAAGGGTCATATGGGCCAATGGAAACACCAAATGTAGCTGTCCAGCCCATAAGCACAGACAATGTATAATGACTAGTTGTGACATACTTCGCTACTGGTCAAAGGCTGCAAACTTAGTGGCAGATGAAATACAATGCTAAATCTATTTCTAAACATATTATTCTGATAACAGCAGACTGAGAGGCAGTGTGAGTCAGTGACACTTATGATGCTGTTTACATCTGAATCAGTGCCATCTCTGTATGGAAAAACTGTATTTTTGTTGAAATGCCACATTTGTGACTCATAATGTGCAAAAAAACATACCTCAAACTAGGGCTTGATCAATAAATTATTTGATATTAAATCACAATAAAATTATTGATCTAAGAGCCAATTACACTGCAGCAATGTGCAACAATGGGAGTCTAAAAGTGTGTTAATATTAGAGATTGGCCACTGAAAACTTATTGAGTGGAAATGTTATTTAATTTATTGGACTCTCTAATTTTGGTGGCTTTAGTCATTATTGGGGTACTCTTTTAAATCTAGAAGCATTAAGAACTTATATAGAAATATATATGAAAAGGTCAGATGCAAAAACCTCCAAACACCATCTAAAATTTTCAGTTTAAATGAACATTTTTCTCAGGCTCTTGTGTGCAGGATCAGCAATTTTACTTATTTGGTGATGAATAGGTGTTTTTCGTTGCCTTTAAAGTGGAATAACTGACGTAAACATAGGAGATAGAGAAAAATGCTCATTAAATTATTAAAAGAAATTTCACACAGTATTTAGACGCTTTTGCATCTGAACTCTTCATATTGTTATCGTTCAATATGTAAAATGATTATCAAGATTGCATTTTTGCCATATCGCCCAGCCCAACCTCAGACACTGCCTGTGCTAATGCTCTGATCTACAAAGTTGTCTAAATGGTTTCTGTATAAATGATCCTTAATGCCAAAGAATGGTGTCTTTGGAAAACATGAATTTGTATAAAAACATAGTTTAAATACTATAGCATTATGTTGTAAAATAAATAGAAAAAAAATAAAAAAAATTGGAAAATGCTGGAAAAATCATCATTTAATAAAACTACATAATTATTAATTTATACTGTTTTCTTTCTTTATTTTTTTTTATTACAAAAATGTCTATTACGTGAAGCCATTTTTCAGGCTATCATTTAAATCCAACATTTAAAAAATCAATACACTTACCAGCGAATATGAACAGCAATAGCAAATGCAATACAAGCCTCCCGTGAGTTTCCATGCTGGGAGTTCTAACAACAGGGCGGCGTCTCAGACTCACTCCAGCCTTCCTGATAGTACAGTGAAAAAAAGAAAAAAAAAAGCTTATGTAAAAGAAATAAAGCCTAGATTTAAAGCCTATGTTTATTAGTATACATATATACATGCAACATTTAGATCCACGTGACTTATAGATTGAGGATTCAGAACCACGGACAGCGTCCGAAAACACGCGGTTGTCAATCACTTACTATTTACAACAACTGTTTACAACACTAACACACATCACAAAACTGTGAATGGAACAACCCGGAGCTGATATTTCATGTATGTTTGGTGGGCAGAAGGAACATTTTTATGATGTTTCCCAAAAGAAGGTTTGAGCTTTCTTACCGAGATACAAACATCCGCGAGCGCGTCAAACTAAAAGCTGACGCTGCTGCTCCATGGCGACGCTCGACAATCAAAAGACCTGTGGATCTTAACGATTCCTGTGGAAAATTCGTGCTTAATATAGAAATCCGGTGAATCCAAAACGAGCTGTTTCACAAGATGTCAGTGACGGAGGGAGGGTTTTCTTCTGCATCCACATCATAAATAGTACAGCTGCTCCATCGCCAAACCTCAGCAGCTGGAGAGAACAGAGACGCTTGCCTTTGTTTTCTTACCAAGTAGCCACTTACTCATGACAGACGTGCTCAGTGCGCATGCGCTGCTGGGTCTACTTTTAAACTGGTCTTTACAAAGTAAAGAAATGACTCGAATTCAAACTTGTTTCACTGACAAACTAAAGCGCATATGTTTAGGGTTTTTTTTCATAAGTGCTATGTTGAAATTAAACCTATTTTAAATATTATAATTTTAAACTAGTTTATTACGATATTGCATTCCAAAATAAAGTGTCTTATATTTCAGAATGTTACCTTTTAGCGTTTGGCTCCTTTGGAATTTGCGATTCGAAATAGTTTATTTTTTTCAGTTTAAAATTCCACAAAGCACTTTATATATGCCTCATATAAGTTTCTTTTATTACCTCAACGTTAAGAAAATGCAAAAACACTGTAAAAATGCAATAAAAAGTAGTTCAAGACAACATGTTTTGTCAGAATAAGTTAGTTTAAAAAGTTTAAGTTTAGGGTGTATAAGTAACATCACCTGCCTGCGCGAGCAAATGTTTGAGTATATTATAAGTCACAATATTTTATTGAGAGTTCTAAACTTAACTCAAGAGTTAACCAGAGCCATCTCTACTATCTGGTTGACGTATGTTGTCCCTAAGTCAATCAACAGCACTCATCACAACACAAAAACAAAGAAATCACTCCTGCTATGTGGACTGAGGAAAATTTGCAGAGTTGTATAAACTAGCAGTATTACACTGTATTGTAAAGACAGGCATAGCCATTTGAGTTCTGAATGAGCCAATTAGGCTCAACACACCTGTTTACTGTAGTAAAACTCACTTTCTATAATGAAGTAATTTTTTTCCACGTATTAAATAAATATAACTGCCACTTTTTATTGGCAAATATGTGGACATTTATGTTTCTGACATATATGGGACATGTAGGTGTTTTTTTTTTTTTACATATGTGGACATTTATGTTTCTGACATGGGACATATATGTTTCTTGCATATTTGTGGACATATCGTCACCTAGGAATTATAAGGTTCTACCTATGTTTTGAATGATTTTGAGATATTGAGCTTTTTGCATTCCATAGCAAACAGTATGTGTGTAACATTTGTTGTTTTTTAAATAGGACATCTTAAAATGTAAACACGTTATGAAAAAACATCTTATAATGTAAATAAGTTCTCATTTAATAAGAATATGTCAATAATAAGAATATGTCAATAACTCAATTTTGACAAAACTCTCAGATAGAACCTTATAATTCTAAAGTGACGATATGTTTCTGGCATATTTGTGGACATATATTTGTTTTACATTTTCATTTTGTACTATGTTTCTGACATACACGGGACATATATGTGTTTTACATATATGAACATATAGGTTTCTGGCATATATTTAAACATATTTGTTTCTGACATATCACGGACATATAATTCTTGCTTGCCTGTGGACATATATGTTTCTGAGATATATAGGACATATATGTGTATTACATATATGATAAACATATGTATGTTTCTGGCATATACATGTATGTGGACATATATGTTTCTGACATAAAAGGGACATATATGTTTCTGGCATATATGTGGACATATGTTTCTTGCATATATGTGGACATATTTGTTTCTGACATATATGGGACATATATGTTGCTGGCATATATGTAGACATATATGTGCTCTACATGTGCTATATATGGGTAATGTTATTCTTGTAGGGGACATGTTTCAGGCATATACGTGGACATATATGTTTCTGACATATATGGGACATACCTGACATCTCAACTTAAATCTAACCTAATATTAATGTCTTATCACATTGTGTGTCTGCGGGATTATTGTCACTTCATAAAAGTAGACACATTACTAAACAGATATAGCATTACAATTTACTACTGTTGTTTAGATTTTTGTTTTATATTCTTAACAGCTATAACCAAAATACATAAGTGAGAACTATTCACTCTTAACAGTCTTCCCTATTCTGGATAATTGTAAAGCCACCCATGCCTGATGTGTGATTTGTTCATAGGTGGCAGTGGAGTCTTCATGTCCTGGCAAATGGAGCAACAGAAAGAGACAGATATGAAGCCCACACATTTAGCACAGATCAGTGAGTTGTTCACTAACGTCCATCCTCTCCTCTCTCCTCATAAACAACATCCATCAAAGTGGTCAGAGCAGCACATCATCAACTGTGTGCTTCAATTGTCTCTGCTCTAGAACAGCATTTCATCTTTTAAACCCACACACTGGTCCTACTTATCCTACGCATGGTCGGGGGAAAAAGCTTTATCGCAATTACTGCAATTATTACATGAGTCACGACAAATATAACCTTTCTTTTCTGCAGTCACCACATGGATGATGACTACTGAAGAAACTGACATATTTGAAATGCCATGTTGAGCTTGAATAATGTGCACTATGTTGAAATTAAAACTTGTAATGCAGTTTAAAGTTTAAAGCTTACAGTCTAGGGGTGTGTGATATTGACAAAAATATCTCATTTATCTTTTTGGGCATTTTCCTTATTAATGGCTACTAAAGGATGCTTTGCTGAGTGTGTGTAGTAGTTTTGTGCTGGTCTTCGAATTTAATGATAGATAAATATAACACTTAAACTGCCAGTATCAGTCCCTGTCTTAAAGTTCACTAAAAAATAACATTTCCTCACCATTTACTCAATTGGTTCCAAACACTTATAAATTACTTTCTTTAATTGAACTTAAAACAAGATATTGGAACATTGGAAAAACATTGACATCAATAGTGCAACAAAAAATGCTACGAAGATCAATGGCTGTTTTTCCCCAACATTGTAACAGAAGAAATTAAGTTGAACAGGTCTGGATCAATTGGAAGAAGAGTAAATGATAATGTATTTTTATTTTTGGGTGAACTATCCCTTTAATGGTTGAGACAGCAGTTAAGTTCATGAATGACTCGTATCGTTGGCTCAAATGATTTGTTCAAAAACAGATTTAGTTAAAAGTCAACCATCAATTGATTCACAAGTGACTCATTGAATCGTTGGCTTAGATGATTTGTTCAAAAATAGATTTACTCAAAAAAAGCACCTCTGATTATGTTCATGAGTGATTCATTCGTTTAAAAATAGATTTATACAAAAACCAACCACTAATTATGTTCATGAGTGATTAATTGAATCACTGGCTCGGATGATTCCTTCAAAAATAGATTTATTCAGAAAGCAAATTATGTTCATTCGGGACTCATTGAATCAATGGCTCAAATGAATTGTTGAAAAATAGATTTATTCACAAACCAAACACCACAGTTGGTCTGAAATTGACACGTTCTGCTCTCTTTGTTTAGATGGACATATGTAAAAAAAAAGATAAAAATAATAAAAACAGATACTAGTGTGTCTAAAATGTTATTCACTAAATGTCAATCAATTATTATGATAATATTTGGGGGTCTGTTGCATCTAAAAAATTTAAATCCCCCTGATTTACACAATACAGCAGGTATAGAGCATGCAAGAACAAACAAACACATAATATAAAACATCTGAGATTTATTATAAACATGTTTTCCGTACATCCCACTAATCTACATGGTCTGGAATGCATATGTTACACTACATGTTCACACTCATGATGGCTTATATAGGCATATGCTTAAGTGTACATTCACATCTGTATTGCTCTTCGACACAGATAAAATGAATCCTCCTTTTTTTCCTTTTTACTGACTAGATAATTTGTTTGGATTAGATTCCTGCTTGGATGCGAACACAAACGTAAGATTGGTGTCTAATCTTGCAATGAGAAAGTCAACGATTTAATCTGGCCAAAGTATTAATGTATAGGAACCTAGTGAAGCTTAAAACTAAGGTCAGAGTTAAGGATTACAGATTTCATCATTGGGATTATGGCTGCTTTATTATGCCGAGCGCACAGGAAAAGAAAGCTCACAGACCTAGAAATTATTTCTACGTGACACACAGACCATTGTGTCTGTGCCAGAAGATTTCTAATCTATAAACATGCGCAAAAGAAAAACATATATATATATATATATATATATATATATATATATATATATATATATATATATATATATATATATATATATATATGTGTGTGTGTGTGTATATACAGTTGAGGTCAGAATTATTTGTCCACCTGAATTATTAGCCCCCCTGTTTATTGTGTTTCCTAATTTCTAATGGAGAGATTTTTTCCAACACATTTCTAAACATAACAGTTTTAATTACTCATTTCTAATACCTCATTTCTTTATCTTTGCCTTGATGACAGTAAATAAAATTTGACTAGATATTTTTCAAGACACTATACAGCTTGAAGTGACATTTAAAGGCTTAACTAGGTTAATTAGGTTAACTAGGCAGGTTAGGGTAATTAGGCAAGTTATTGTGATGTTTGTTTTGTAGACTATCGAGAAAAATAGCTTAAAGGGGCTAATAATTTTGTCCTTAAAATGGTTTTAAAAAAATTAAAAACTGCTTTTATTCTAGCTGAAATAAAGCAAATAGGACTTTCTGCAGAATATATAAATAAATAATATAATAACATAATAGTGATTTATAGACCAGTAATAATACTTTAAAATTTATTCTGAATGCAACTGTGAGCCAGTGTAAAGACCTGAGGACAGGTTTGATGTGCCCTGATTTGCTGGTTTTGGTCAGAACCCTGGCCGCAGCGTTCTGGATGAGCTGCAACTGTCTGTCTTTTTGTCATGAAAAAACATGACAGAAATTTAAATACAGCCATTCAGAAGCACAGAATAGGGCACTTACTGTGTTCTAACGAAATGGTTAGGTTTATAATCTACTGTATTTATTAGCCTACATATTAAGCCTTTAACATTATTAAATGGACATACTGAATCACACCTTTTAGTTCCAAAGTTCAATTTCAAAAGTTTTATTTTATTTTAAAGATCTGAGGTGAACTATCTGCTGCTGCTTTCAGTAGTATGACAATAAATGTCATGTAAAATGGCATTTAGGGTGCTTTCACACCTAGACTTTTGTTTCGGAATTAACCCGTCTCATTT